CCCCAAACATCTTGTATATTGTTTTCCCAACCCTCCTGCTTAACAATGTCGGTGTTTAAACTGTACCATGTTAAATATTTTCAATAATTCCATATACGGAACGTTTTCCTATTTAAAAACTAAATTTTCGAGTGGGAGTGGCAAAAAAGAACCCGTTGTGAGAGAACTAGCTAGGGGTAATGTAGGCTGTCTAAAAATCACAATAGATAGCTGATCCCCATAAAAAAAAATACTCTGACGACTTCCAGAAGGTTACAATTTGAAGACTTTCACGTAGATTGATAAAGGTTACAATCTGACGACCTTCACGACAACTGATGGAAGCTCTAATCAAACAGCCTTCATAATCAACATCGGGAGTTACAATCTGACGACTCTCATATATCAGAGAGCTAAAGCAAAGATTACAAAATGACGATCTTTGCAACGCTTCGACAGAAAGAGACTACAAATCGACAGTCTCTTCAAATCAAACTGTGGAAGTCCTCCCCGCACACCAGCACCAAGATGCACCGCGTTCATAGCCACGAACGCAGCTCAAACGCAGCTTCCAAATCGCTGCAAACGCAATCGCTGCCAGACGCAGCTCAAACCGCTGCCAGACGCAGCTCAAATCGCCGCCAGACACAGCTCAAATCGCCGCCAGACGCAGCTTCCAAATTGCCCAACGCAACTCTATACCGCTGTCAAACGCAGCTCCATCGCTGCTCAAACGCAGCTCCATCACTGCCCAAACGCAGCTTCCAAGCTGCCAAACGCAGCTTCCAACAAAACACTGCGTCCGAGCTTCCAGACACTGCGTTTGAACGCAGAATTTACGCCAGAATGCAGGATCTGCGTTTGACTCGTTCAAACACGAGTTGAACGGTTTCAAAACCGTTTCCCACGATCTGAGGGGATCACAACTCCACTCAGGAGTGATTTGAGGGGCGGTTACATCTCATTAGCCCCACTTAGGAGCGAATTAAGGAGGTTGTTACACCCCTTAATCCCCTATAAATAACTAAGAAATCAACTTAGTTCGGGGCTGGATCTTTCGGGGCGGTCTGTTAGAACTTCTTGGCTCGTCAACAGGATCCTTAGAGCATTTCTGGAGCTTGGGAGATCTGCAACAAGAGCTTCTTCATCCTTGGCTTGAGAACCGATTCTGGAGCTTGGGAGTTCTCCACAACGTCAAATCGTAAGGAGAATATCATGTTCCAGTGAAACAAGACGTCGGATCGTCAACGAGAAGCAAACTCGACGCGAGCATTCGAGGGAGGCATCTCATCGCCACCGTGAAGAACCCAGAATTAAACAAAGGGGAGAATCTAGATCATTCTCTTCTCTTTTGTAATCAGGAATTCAAATTGTAATCGAGAGTAGAGAGAATTGTAATCATTCTTTTTCTAAACAGTTAGAGAGAATAAAGTCAAACGCAATTCTTTTATTCATTTTCTTATTACAAAATTTCCGACAAACAGGTAATTTTGTAAATACCAAGATTTGAGTTGCAATTTTGCAAATATGAAAGGTCGGAGGGGTATACATGCAAGCCCCGCAATGTTGTTACATTATTTCTAAGCTTTCCAACTCACTACCTAATTATGAACGACGAATTTATCCAAAAAAAATGTTCACGAAAAGGCTTCGTTGTCATCGTTGTTATTACCATTGTACGGTATTGTTGTTCATATCAATTCCATGATAAACGTGCCTCATGACAGACATTTTAAGGCCAATTGTCGTGGCATCAAAACTCCTAAATCAGGATGACAATTGAGGGTTATCATGTGTGTATAATATTACATGACCTCTCAATTAAGTGGCTACAATGACCTTTACGTTATCGACTTGACATGGGTGACCTTTGAGAGTAATTAAGTGGCCAATCATGGAAGAAGGGTGTGTAGCACAAGAAAATTTATTTACTTTTAGAGTTATATGCATATATACCCTTTCAATCATATTCATGGGTACTTGCAAAAAAAAAAAAAAAAATCTCCCGGTTTCTGTATTTGCAAAATAAAAAAAAAAAAAAAAAAAATCTCCCGGTTTCTGTATTTGCAAAACTATCCCCTAAATCATCAATTTTGAAAAAAAAAGATTACCACCAAAGCAACTAATCATCAAATTTGATAAGCTAATTTGTACGAGCGCAATGTAAAAAGTATCAACAAAATGGTCAAAGTTTTAGTACAAAGTTGATGATTTGTTGATTTTAGGGTTATTTTCCACAAAGCTGCAAATACTACGATTTGGGTTTTTTTTTTGCAAATACCCATAATTCAAGGGGTATATATAAAAATAAGCCATAATTTTAACATATTCTCATTTACATGTGATAAGTTTCCCATAGCCTACTCCTTTTGTGCTTGCGCATGTCACCTTGATGCTCATTAAGTAACTAATTAAGAATTTCTCATTGAATGAATGCCGAAAGTAGTCGTATCCAATATATTTCAAGATGCCGGCAGCGATCAAGTAGGTGTATCCAATATAGTTCGAGATAAGGCAAAACCCATTTTTTAAAGGAGCAACAAGGATACAATTTTTTATTGTAAAAAGAAAAATGATAGGGGCACACCACCAACCACAACCTTAACCACACTCCCTCTCTCATTTGCTACAGTGCACCGGGCCTCACATGGGATTTTAAAATTTTAAAATCCCATGTGGGGCCCGGTGTACAGTAGCAAATGAGAGAGTGAGTGTGGTTAAGGTTGTGATTGGTGGTGTGCCCCTAGTGCCACCCTTGTAAAAATCATGGCACCACAACACAAACTAGTCGGACGATGATGTTGCGCTAGCTAGGTTTCTGCCTTTATTTTTTGTAAAAATCATGGGATAACCTATTTTTTCTTAAATTAACCCTCTAGTCACTCATGGATAACATAGATGATTGTTTTTTTTCCGTTCTATAGAATATTCTGATAGAATTTTTACTCTGTACATTTAGATCCCTCTA